GGTCGAAGGTCAAGTTTGTCGTAGAGCCACGAAATTCGGTACACATGTTCCTCAGGTCAAGACATGAAAAAAAAGTTATTATGGCTCCACCCCCTGACAATCAGGAAGCTCATTAATTTAATTGGAAAATGTAAAAATGAAAATTGATCTTTTTCACACATGTCGGCTGGAAATTATCTCCTCCTCGGCCGCTTCACCGATTTGTCTCAAAATCCCTCCACATGGTCTAAACCCATGTCCCATCTATTATTGAATATAGAATTTGGATCAGTTAAACGTTGTCCGAGCAGCGGAGCGGCAAAATGTGACATTTTTTTCCCAATTTTTGACAAAAGTAAATTTGCTCCCATTTGCACAAACAAAGCCGGATTTGCACCAAATTTTAATACATTGTTCAGCTCCAGGGTCTAGGTCATCTGAAAGTGGAAATATTGAAATTGGCTCATTAGCGCCCCCTACAGACTATGTCAAAGTTTTACATGGGCTTTTTAAAATTTAGTTTTTTCAAAATGTTTGAAATTTTGCACATAATTCTGTTTTGTCATCTGGATTCAAAAAGTGTCAATGACAACATATGGTTATTTTTTACCCTGTTGCCGTGGCGACGACCAACACTCCCCTGTCTGTGTCTATGAGAAAATCGTTAAATCTCTGAAAAGTACACCTCGCTCAAACATCAAACCAGCCGCGGCCGTTTCACTAATTATTCTGAAAATCGCTCCACATCGTCTCAACACATGGACCATCAATAGTTGCATATAGAGTTTGAATTAGTCAAACGGTCTGAGCGTGACAGACTCCCAAAGTGTGGTCATTTTCATAGAGAGGTGTGAAGGTCCCATGTTATCCAATGGAGACTGTATGGACACACTCACAGATTGTATGTTTAAACAGGAGCACATTCACAAACTCTGATTTGCACTAAACTTGACTCGGTTGTTCAACTCCTGGGCCTAGGTCACATGACAGTGTGAACAATGACATTGTCCCATTAGCGCCCCCTGAAGGCTGAGTAAAGGTTTACATGGGGATACAGGTATTTAGGTTTTATGTTGTTTGATCTCATATTTGACCCACTGAACAAACACAAAAACTCACCAAACTTTGCCACAAGCTTTTGTCAGGCATAAACTGTATTAGTTTGGTGTTCTTTGGTATAACACTAAAAAAATTAAATTGTAGGGGGCGCTGTTGTACAACATTAAATGCCACCATTTGCACATACAAAGTCCGATTCTCACAAAATTTGAAATGATTGTTCAACTCTTGGGTTTGGGTAAACTGAACGTGTAAATCATGGAAATGCAGCATTAGCGCCCCCTACAGACTGATATAAGTGTTACATGGGGAGAATTAAGTTTACATTTTCAATAGAGACACACAATCACTGATCATAGTAATTCAAAACACACAGTGTCGCTCCCATCAGGGGGGCAAAAAATGGCGCGTCAGCGCCACCTCGTGCGCGGTGCGGCGAGGGCCGTTAGATGCCGCTTGCGGCTTTAATTAGGCCCGAGCCCCAACCGGGGTAAGGGCCTATTGCTTTTCCAACGAGTAATGCCTGGGCGAAGCCCAGGCATTACTCGTTGAACTGTTTTAAGTCACAATCTCCGGGCGCAGCCCGGAGATTGTGACCTGCACGCGACGGCACGTGCCCAGACACTGATAAATCCGTGCCGGAGGCACGGAATGGCTTTGTTCCTGCTGTAGTACACAGTGAAATGATTGAAGTCCTATTAAAGGGGGGTTCCTTCAACTGTCTTACGGACGAATGTCCGGGCGAAGCCCGGACATTCGTCCCCCAAGCCCGACGGCGCGTGCCCAGACACTGACAAAACAGTGCCGGAGGCACTGAATGGCTTTGCTCCTGCTGTAGAACACAGTGTAATGAATGGGGTCCTATGGGGGGGGTGGGTGACCTCATGATGGCGAGGTGATTGACGAGCGCGTCAGCGCTCGTCAATCACCGAGAACCCAATAGTTGCGTTCGCCTCGTCGTTCGCTTTAAAACGACGTATCATTTGTATTATAGGTTACTATGGAAACCTATATTGTTTTTGCTCGAAGTTTTAAAAAAAAAATTCCTTGGTTTATTATTTCTTTCTTTCTTTCTTTCTTTTTTCTTCTGCACTTTGAACCTTAATTTGACCCCCTGAACATTGATGAAAAGTTGTGAAATTTTGCCCAAAATTCAGAACCGGTGAAAAATTAATTTTTTTGGTGTTTATTTTTATGGGACTAAAAAAATGACCGAACAGCGCCCCCTACAAAAGTCAGTTTACATTGCGCCTATGGGAGGAGGTCGGAGGTGAAGTTTGTCGTAGAGCCACAAAATTCGGTACACATGTTCCTCAGGTCAAGACATGAAAAAAAAGTTATTATGGCTCCGCCCCCTGACAAACAGGAAGCTCATTAATTTAATTGGAAAATGCAAAAATGAAAATTGATCTTTTTCACACATGTCGGCTGGAAATTATCTCCTCCTCGGCCGCTTCACCGATTTGTCTCAAAATCGCTCCACATGGTCTAAACCCATGTCCCATCTATTATTGAATATAGAATTTGGATCAGTTAAACGTTGTCCGAGCAGCGGAGCGGCAAAATGTGACATTTTTTTGGGGATTTTTGACAAAAGTAAATTTGCTCCCGTTTGCACAAACAAAGTCGGATTTGCACCAAATTTTAATCCATTGTTCAGCTCCAGGGTCTAGGTCATCTGAAAGTGGAAATATTGAAATTGCCTCATTAGCGCCCCCTACAGACCATGTTAAAATTTTACATGGGCTTTTTAAAATTTAGTTTTGTCAAAATGTTTGAAATTTTGCACATAATTCTGTTTTGTCATCTGGATTCAAAAAGTCAATGACAACATATGATTATTTTTTACCCTGTTGCCGTGGCGACGACCAACACTCCCCTGTCTGTGTCTATGGCGAAATCGTTAAATCTCTGAAATGTACACCTCGCTCAAACATCAAACCAGCCGTGGCCGTTTCACTAATTTGGCTGAAAATCGCTCCACATGGTCTCAACACATGTAACATCAATAGTTGCATATAGAGTTTTAATTAGTCAAACGGTCTGAGCGTGACAGACCCCCAAAGTGTGGTTATTTTCATAGAGAGGTGTGAAGTTCCCATGTTATTCAATGGAGACTGTATGGACACACTCACAGATTATATGTGCTCCTGTTTGCACATACACAAACTCTGATTTGCACTAAACTTGACTCTATTGTTCAACTCCTGGGCCTAGGTCACATGACAGTGTGAACAATGACATTGGCCCATTAGCGCCCCCTACAGGCTGAGTAAAGGTTTACATGGGGATGAAGGTATTTAGGTTTTCTGTTGTTTGATCTCATATTTGACCCACATAACAAACACGAAAACTCACCAAACTTTGCCACAAGTTTTTTTCAGGCATAAAGTGTATTATTTTGGTGTTCTTTGGTATAACAGTAATAAATTGAAATTGTAGGGGGCG